GACTTTTCAGAGGGGGTGACAGCAAAATGACTGTCAGTAATTTTGCTGTCACCCCTCCAATGGTGTCACCCGGGTGTGTGCCACACCCCCCGCACCCCCTTTGTGACGCCACTGTACTCACCTAATCCTGGGAGCAGGCCGGCTCTTAGGCTGATCTTTTCTGCTTCGCTCTCCTCTGCTGCAGCGGTTCCTGAGACACTACATCCAGTATATAGTATTCGAGGATGCTGAGGGACATAGCATTAGCAACGGAGGAGGAGACAGGCAGGAGGGAGCGCTATCAGAGCTGACCATATCCGAGGTTCGGGCAAATATAACTTTTTTTTTAACCTAGACACAAATTACCCACTGCAAGGGTTAAGAATTTTTTCCCCATAGTTTTTTGTTTAACAGCAAGGCTGTTGCAGGTACTAAGCACTAGCACTTTATACATGACAGGTTTGCTTTAATTAGCATCTATAAGATGATACTGGTCCAATAGCACTGTAATGAATGACATAGTAATACAAAAGGCCTTTATTGAGAGTGTATGTACTTCAAAATAGTAATATATTGTCTTTTAGCAAATATAATCACATTTTATGTACAATTCAGAATAATAACATGAACATATAAAATTCTACTGTAACATGGTACCCATGAAAACTAGTACAGCCATGAGATCTGTTATCTAGAAACCCGTTGTCCAAAAAAAAATTGCTGATGATTAAAGAGGCCAAACATACAAACATGTTCTCTTATTATAGCTGGTCTCCTTCATCTCTAAGCTAAGCTCAGCAACCAATCAGATTACAGTATTTTTAAAGATGAAAAAATCTAGTTGAGGCAATTTCTAAAATAAAGTTTAGGCCAAAAGAAAGAACTATAGTACACATTTTACAGTGTTACAATAAAAAAAAATGTGTTCTACATTCCTTATTTAATCGTTGGTCCTGCCCCCTGCCATGGCATAGATCACATAGCAAGCCATTTTACCTATCACACTATAAGTGACCTAACATAAATCTTCCTTTTTATTCCATTATCTGTTTTGCCATGGCAGTCTGATTGCTGTGATTCTTAAAGGAAAAGTCCACCCTTTTAGAATGTAAGCCTTCACAGGCGGGGCCCTCCTTCCCATCTTGTCTTGAATTGTATTGTAATTGTAATGTCTTTCCTATGTTGTAAAGCGCTGAGCAAACTGTTGGCGCCATATAAATTCTGTATAATAATAAATGGACACATATTCATAAAGGAAAAAATGTGCATTTATTATATTTTTGCATTGGATCCAGTAAAGCATTGCAATTGTGATCAGTGGACCGTTGGAGGAAGAATGAATGAATGAATGACTACAAGCGTCACCACACTTGTGTTCCAGCTGCGGAAGGCTGATGGGACTTTTATCCATGCACAGCTGTGCCATTTTCAAAAATCAACAGCAGCCTATGGGATGATGACACCCAGCAAGTGGGTAGAATGGAACACGATGAGGGTGGGGGGGTTTGGATGTGACCATGTTTCATGTTACACCCTGAATATGAGTGTAATATGAAACATGGTCTGAAAGGTAAACTTAGCTTTTAAAGGAGAAGTATTGGGAGAGTAAAATGTACTCTTCCCAACATTTGGACACACTACAGCAGCCACACACCGACTCTATAGATCAAGAACAGTCTTCTACCTGCAGACAGCAGTGACTGCCAGTCACCGCTCCCTGCAGGGATTCCCCCCTCCCTTCTCTGTTCCTCCAGCGCTCATTGGACAGACAGAGGAGGGGGCGGGCACAGCTGGCTTTGGCAGTTGCCCGATATATGCTGAGTTTGGGTCACAGGGGGACATTAGTAAATGTCCTCCTGTGATCCAAAATAGAACTGAATAGGGACAGAGGCCAGGCATTTTTCATTTCATTTTAGAGCAGCTCTTACAAAATGACACGTTGCATCTGATTGGTTACAAATAAGCATTGATTACAGTTTCATTTCCTTCATTCTTTTCTAGAAATTGCACTTCAGATAGCAAAAATGCCCTTTTATTGGACAAAGCTTGATTGCAGCAAAGATTTCAGATAAGAGATTTCACACCTGTACATGGAGAGGTGAAGTCAACCTTATATAAAATTGACATAAGAGCCGTCTGTCTCTTTACATAGTGTCTCTATTTATGGGAAGTTATTGTGAAGTGGAATTCTGACTCAGTGGAAAGTTCTGTGCAGAAATAACGTACCAAACAAAAGATGATTAAAGAACATAATACATATTGTAACGTTATTGCAGAGAGACGGTCAGCAATGGCATTACATTGCATATCTGTAATTTGAATAGACAATACATGTAACCCCCTCACTTGTGTTTTCCCACCTTATGAAATCATTGTACAAGTAGATAAAATAGAACCATGGACACTTTTTTTTAGTTTTGGATGGAGTGGGGAAGGTTTAGAACCTCTGTTAGGTTTGTATCGATGTCTGTGTCCCCATTGGGGAAATTCACCCCCACTTTTTGTCCTGGTGACAACCGAAAGAAAATCAGGGAAATCAAAGATTCTGTAGTTATCAATGGAAGAAGAGCAGAGGTGATGTCTTGGAATGAGAACAAATGTTCCGGTGACACCTGTCGATATGGGATTTCACTTTGGGGAGATTTCCTCTCGCTTCTTGTTCTGTCTATTTAACAGGAAGTGGGGTGAAGTCTCCTTAATGGGATACAGACAGCCAAAAAATCTAACATAGTACAACCTACCCCATTTGCTTGAAAATAATTAAAAAAAACTTTTGGCTGGAGTCTGGAAAGGTTCTCATTCATCCAGGCCATTGTATATCTGTAAAATATAAATCAAGGCAACTGGACTTGCTGTATTTTTCTTGAAGATGTTTCGCTGGTCATCGGACTAGCTTTCTCAATTTAATTATTTCTGAAATGAGAAAGCTAGTGGGATGACTGGCAAAACCTCCAGTAACCGTGATTTATTTTTACAGATATACTTTTGGCCGGAGTTTTACTTTAGTTAAATAGCCTAAATTATTTCTTAGTAATGAGACGCCACATGTCAGATGAAATCTAAAATCAGGCTTGCAGAGAGTGCAAGCTGAGAGTAAGAGTAGGGTACTTTGAAGGCAGGTAATAAAACATTTCTAAGGATGAGTTCCAACTTTGTATTTTGATATAAATTCCTGTTATGCATATTCATCAATTTGACAGACATGCTGTTTCTTAAGATGAACTCCAGCTAAACAGATAATAGTATGCGGAAACACATATAGGAAGCTAGCAAAGGATTTTTTTATTCATACAGTTTTGAGCAAGACATCTCTGCTGAGCTGGTGACCTGATTTTTCTCCATTGTAGTTAGAACAATACAGCTTGATCACCTCCTTGCCACCAGTCTGTGATTGATCAGTAAAAATGCAGCAGCAGACTGATGAGGTCATCCCTGTACTCTCTCCTCCTGTCTGCATGTTCCTTGTCAGCACATGTTCATGTAGAAGAACCTGATTGGGCCCTGGTGCTGTCCCTCCCTCTCCTATTCTGATTACTGTTGTTCAGAGTATTACAAGAGAATGATACCAAGTAAATTCAGTTATTATCACTAGTTGCATTTAAAAATACATCAAATTCATTTTTAATGAATACATAACTATCTATTATTGCTTTTTGCTATCTACCTGGAGTTCATCTTTAAGGTGTATTTCCACTTTTGCAGTCAAATTTGAGAAAACCCTTCTATATGTTTGTTACGTGTTCCCATTCATCCAACGTAACGAAAAATTATTAAAACAAAATTCTTCTCTTTTAGATATTTTATTGCAGCAGGCATCATGTCTGATTCCAGGTTTTTCTGAGCACCTTCACAGGGATCTGTCCTGATAGAAGGATTTAGGACTGAAATTTGAGGACTGTGTTTCTCTCATTAACTTCATTAACATACAATGCAAACCTCTCACAGCCCCGCCTAACATTACAAAAAAGGAGAAGCGAGTAGAAATTTTAACCCCTAAGAAGCCAAGAAACCCTAACCCGAGTGAAAGCAATTTAAACTGCAAGAAGCATTTTTTAAAAATATTTGTTATCCCAATTTGGTTGCGAAAGTGGAAATACACTTTAAGCTACCCTTCAGGTACATTTTTTTTAACTAAAAATATTATGTCCACATTATATATATGGATTCTGTTTTTTTAAACTGATTAATATATGATTGAAATTGCAAGTTAGTAGATAAATGTGAATATAGATGGCGTCACAAATGTTCCATATATTTGTAGTAATAATAAAGTGAATAAAAATGGACATGCAAATATTCTTTCATGGCTGAGTTGTTTGCAAAAAATATATAGAAGTACGAGTGCTACGTGCTACGAGTTAAACATTAGGCCAAGAAGTCAGTCACAGACAGACCTAAGGCCTATTTAGATTTGTTACTGGGTAAAGCGTGTTGCCTTCCCTGAAATAATCTGCAATATTTTTTCTTCTTATCTTTTCATTTTTTATTTTTTTTGGCTGACGGTCCAGCCGTCAACATAACATTATATTCCGAAGGATTTTTTCAGTACATATAGAGCTGTGTACAAAGCTGCATTTTCAGTTTCTGAGATTGAAGGAGTTGCAGATTCACTGACTATTCTGTTCAGAAGGATACTGCTGGACAGGCAGATTGCTCTAACAGCCACTTCCCTTTTATAGCTGTAGGAAGCCTAGATTTGACTCTGTGGTGCATCCAAATTTAATAGGTATGAGTTTCTAGCCCAGAAGCTAGAGCCTATTTCATGTCCGGAAAACAGAAGTTGTCATATGAGAACTGCACGCAGTAATGCAGTATCCTCATTTAATCCCTACTTTCTTCCCTGCCATTCAATATCCAAGTCTATCTGTTGGCCTCAAAAGTCAGAGGAGACCTTTTCTGGCCACAATGTATTTTTTCGGACCATGATAGAATCTTTACAAAGCTAAGATGTGCTATAATTTGCAGGTAGTATGGATTATGCAATCATAAATAAATACTGTACTTTCCCATGTACTAGCAAGATAATGTGGACATGTTTCCTATGTCCTACTACAGCTCCAAACTGGCCATATTTTATTAAACTACATCCATTGAACCAAGTCACATTCCTTCTGGGACAGTTGGGAAGTTAGAGAATGATGTTCCTTGTGCTTCCATCAATCATAGTTAGAGATGTCACCAGTTCCTTCAATTCTAGAAGTGCATTAGTCATCTTGGCAGTGAAATCAGCAGAAAGAAATAAGTGGTGGAATGATGCACATGGCCACTTATGCTTGCCAGATATCTGTACTTTATGCTTCTGACAGTTTCTCCTTAAGGTGATGTTTTCAGTAACATGCCATTCAATGCTTCATTAAAATAAATGCTCAAAATAATCTGTTATATTGCACATTTCTTTATAGTGTTACACTTGGAAAGTAAGATCAACGTTTGTAATACTGATTTGGCATCTGTGGCTTTGCCATCCAATGGTTTGACCACAATACCTTTAAAAAAGGCTATATAGTTGGAGTTAACATCCTTAAAGATTAAAGTGGGCCAGTAAAGTGTGCTAAGATTGTAGAGTTTGTTCATTTCTTTGGTCATCAACTCCAGGTGATGGACCTGGTCATCTTTGTGGTGAAAAGTTGGAATAATCAGAAGATAACATTTTCTTGTACCTTGATGCATAAAAACTTAATTGCAGCTGATGGTCATTGCCAAGTCTTGTTATTTTTAATTTGCTACAGGAAACTTTCCTCTTCCTCATGAGGTTGCTCAGCTTGCTGAAGATCACTCTCCACATCTTGTTCTGGCTGTCTCAGAGGACTGTCGCAGGAGATTGTAGATGATGTATTCCCTTCTTGCAGAGTAGAACTGTGTGATAAATTGAAAAGAAAGAACAATAGTTTTAAATGCTCACAAACATGTCAATGCAAAGATATATTTGCTCTTCAAAACCAAAAATGATCATGTGTTACAATTTATGCACTTTTATCAAGAATCTAGGGAGACTTCTCGTCATAAAATTAAAAGGTTAGACCACCCATTACTTATTTCAATCTCATTGCTATGGAACTCTAGTGGTGAGATATCTGCTCTTTAGTTCTTGCACTGCACCTGCAGTGTCCACTCTCCCTGTTGGATTTTTCTTTATTTTATATCATGAAGAATGTTACAGGAGGAGCTGAAACACACAAAGGTGGGCATGAAGAGCCAAAACTCCCAGGTGGGCAGAAACAGATTTCAGAATTATTGCAGGAAGATCTCACTGTTGCAGAATCGAAGACACATATAAAGCCAGTAGCTGACCCATTCCATCGGCATTCATCAATAACTAAACTTAAAGTGACACTAAACTCTGGAGTTAAATCTTAAAAATTCTTTAATACTTGTGGGTGGATCGACCCTTTGAGGGTCACCGTTGCAGAGAAAGAGACATAGTTATTGGGGTCAGGTTCCCTTGTAAAACTCACCATACATATTACAATCTGACCATTGGTTATAGTATAAGTGGAGTGGGTGGAGAAACAGTTTTTCTTTGACTTTCTTAAATAGACTAAGCCACCAGGTATTCACTTCAAAAACAATATCTCTATAAGACTATATGTGCATTTAAAGTACTTTTTCATTTTATCTCCCCCATACAGAGAGAGGTCTCACAAGTGACAATCTTTAGTATTCCCCAGCAGCTGCGGAGTAAAGGGAGGGGCAGAAGGGTTGGACCAGCATATAGATAAATTAGACAGTCCCAGAGGAGGATAGGGCTATGCAAGGAGGTTGGGACTTTACTAGGCAATTGACTCTTCCTGGAGAAGTCCAACTTTCTAGCAAGTTTAAAGTCACATTGCAAATGGATAAACACTGCAAGTAAGCATTTAAAATACTTAATTTTCTATGCTTATACCTGCAATTTTTTCTCTTGAACACACATAGTTACTAGTTCACTTACCTTGGACGACTCTCTGAATTCTCATTGAGCATATTATCAGACTCTTCAGGCTTGGGATCAGGCAGAGGAATAATATAGTCATTGTCATTTGGTTGCACGGCTGAATATGAAATATTTGTAATGCTTTCTCCACCGTTATTTATTTTCGCCATTCTGGGTCTGACACGAACCACAGCAGGATGATCACTTCTTAAAAATTCTTCATTCACTTGTTTGTATCTCTGCAAAAGACAGAAGAAAATGATTCTACTTTATGCCATTTGGACATCTCCTTCTGTGTCCATTTATTATACATCAGTAACTAAATTTCAGAATTGGCTTGGAATGCTCTCTTTGCTTTCTCCATATCTATTGTGACCCCATCCCCACAGGGTCAATATGTTACCCAGGAAATAAAACAGATACTATACTTACCTTCTAAGCAGCCCCTGTCTTTAAATGCAGCAGCTTCAGTGCTCCCCGGACGCTGCAGGTATTCCACACTTCCAGGTGTGTAAATACCCGCTCCTCAGAGTGGTTTCTACCGCTGGCTCATACATCTCCACATGACATAGAAGTCGGTGGGAGGAAACATTGCATGTGATGGGGAGAAAGTATTCAAACCATTCAACCAGATGAATACGTGCAGAGGCCATGGAGTAGTAAAGCTATAGCATCTCAAGTCAAAGGCTGCGAAAGGGTAAGTATAGTACTATACTCACTATAAGAGCCTCTTCTTTTACAAGCCTGGCCTTATTTGTTGTAATAGGGTCACTTTACACAACTCTGCTCTGGCTGATGTACCAAACAGGGTTTCTGTAAATTAGGACAGACATCATACCTGTTTGTAGCCTTCAACTAAAAGATTCCCAGTCATATTCACTAGGGTATTGAAGGATGGTCTTTTCTCAAATTTCTCATCCCAGCATTTCTGCATAATTTCATATCTAAAAGACAAATAGTTGACCAAAACAGAAAAGTTAACTAAAATGCCAAGACGATTACTGGCAGTTAAAAAACATTACAGTTAAAGATGCATTTGGAAGGTTGACTCTACTGACTCCCTTTCTCAAATAAGCAATCCTTGCAATGGCTTTAGCCTCTGGCCATAAAGATATGGGAGGGTGTCCATGCAGGCGTGAAATCAAGATTTTCCCTGCAAATTCCAGCACCAGGAATGTGACACCCTGATAAAGGCTTGTGTACATGGGCTTTAGTTTTCATCTGAGCTTTTCTTTCTAATAAGTGTAAAAGCAAATCAAAGCAACTCAGAAGCACCTAAAAGCATTCAGCATCTGCCTCACTTCTGAGTTGAAGCCCATACACATAAACCCTAAATAAGTAATGAACGGAGACATGTACAATAAAGAGACATGTACAATAAAGGAGTCATCTCACTGCTGAGGTGGCCAAGATATTAGAAGTTGGTGGATAATTCTACTCACTGTCCAACCAATACTTTGATATCTGTATTAGGTGAACTCCCACGTTCGGCCTTGTACACATGGGTATCAGCTTGTGTACAGCAAACCTTTTACAAAGCATTTGCAAAGCTTTTGGTGAGCTTCAAGTAGCTTTGTTGAACCCTTGAAAGGAACTTCAGTTCTGGTATGGGGAGGGTAAGCAGAGATCTTGATGGGAGTGCTGACTGTCTCTTTAAACAAGAAGCTCTCAACTTTCAGTAAGCTTCAGCACTACATGAAGCTTGTTTATAGCATGCTTATGTCTGCCAGCTACTTGTTTAAAGTGTCAGTCAGCACTCCCATTATGAGCTATGTTTAAAGTGTATGTAAACCCTATTAATGAACTTCTTGCCTACTTTTGGTCTGTTTGATATACAATTGAAAGTGTTTTGTATATTAACAGGTATTGTTCTGTACTTGCAAGGTCTTTAAAGGAATAACCCATGGTGTAAGGTGCATGAAACTGCAGAGATCTACTGCATATGTTTTATTTGCCTTGACATACACTTTAACATCCTCAAACTGGATCTGAATCTTTTTTAAAGATTCAACAAGCTGCTTGTATATTGCTAAAAGCTATATGAATGCAAAAGCTTACTGTACACACAACTCTTATACAAGCTAAGGACCACATGGGCAATGCCTTAAAGTGGAACTGCAGGAAAAAAATTTCTTCTATTTGTGTATTAAGTGGGGAAAGGTTAGAATCTCTATGACAGCAAATAAGAGGGAATCTACGCAAAGTAATTGTTAATCTAGACTATAATAGTTATTACTGGAACAGGTGTCCACATTGGGAGATTTCACCTTTATTCCAGTTCTAGTGACAGCTGTAACATTTTGGAATTACTATCATGGTCACCTGAATAGAAAGTAAGAGTTGATCTCCTAGCAGGTTAATAAATAAAGAAACCATTAGAAGCAGGAAGTAATTGTATGAAAAGGACATTGATCAGGTTTTTCTGACTTACATTTCCTCTGAAGCATAAGAAGGTCTTGACATCCGATAGCCTCTCTTTATAGCATTGTAAAACTGCTCATTCATAGGCAGCTCCGGGTAGGGTGTTCCACCTATGGAGATGGTAAAAAGGAATGCTTAAACCTTTTCAGGCACTGAGAATATGCATTAAACCTCTCTGATAAAATGTTATAGAGGTGATGTATCATTAATATATTTTGGTTAATGAAAACCATTTTAAATGGTGTGTTGTTTTGCAACTGTATGACAAATACAGGCACACTCCATAAAAAGTAGATCATATTTGAGTAAAAATGTGTGGGTCCTAAAATATTTTCTATGCTAGCAGCAGACTTCTTTTTGAATTGTTATCTAAAGCTATGCTAACAGTCTTGTTAGAATAAAGGGCTAAGATACTTACAATACTGAAAGAAAATGCTTAAAGAAAATGCTGTTTCAATGGGACCAAAAGCCTAGCCATTGGCCACATGCTCTCTTCTAAAGGGGAGGATCTGAGTTCAGATTGGCTGATTCTCCCTTTTAGCAAACATCTTGAGACCAAATGCCTAGGCATCTGGTTATGTCACAAGCAGTAATGTCAGCCTGCAGCAGCATTTTCTCCAGTAGAGTTATTTAGCTAGTCTTACTCTACTAGCACTGTTATTATAGATTCAAGTTAAGTTGAATCTTTGGTACGGGACAGGTAAAAGCCAGCCAATCAATGGCTCTGTCTTTACAATGATCCTCCCCTTTGGAGCCATGTCATTCAACTTTCCTCATAAAAAATATATAGAGAATGTGACACAAGAAGCTCAGTTAAAAGAGCGAGGAACAGCAGTCATGGCTGTACTATAGGTGGACTGAAATCTACTTGCCAGATTTACAAATAGGTTTTAAGATTGGGGAAAACAAATCCTACCCCACTTCACCGAAAGCAAAATCTACTTAAGGCAGAATTTCATATTTCATACATATTGATGGAAAGGTATGTAAGGTTATGCTTATGTGAAATGTAATAGCTTTCAGCTAACAGTACCAGTCTTCCATTTCTAAAAAAATCACTCTGCAGCAATTCATACCTAAAGTGAAAATTTCCCAAAGAAGGATTCCAAAAGACCACACATCACTAAGAGTTGTGTACAGGTTGTTGAATATACTCTCTGGTGCCATCCATTTCAGAGGAAGGAAAGTCTGCATTAGAGGGAAGCAAATGTTAGCTTGCTTGTATATAGGCAAACAAATCTATAGCAATTTTATATGGAGTGTTTGCAGTTGAAAAACAAAAGTCCAAAAAACAAATGTAATAGTAATATTTAAAGGATCAGTCCACCAAAAGACTGATATAGTAGATGCTGACATCTGACAATTTCTCAACTCTGTTGTTGAGATCTCTCCACTTCTGCCAGGCACCATGTTTCTTTCATAATAGATTAACTTTAAGTTCTCCATTGCTCTTCAGATAATAAAACATTCTATCACACTATGTTACTCTACCATATGCATACACCTAATTTCCAGTATATCGGTCATATTCACACTTTGTGGTGAGTTGTGTGTTATTTCCCACATTCACATGTGCTCCGTGGTAAGTCAGCCATTCATTTTGAATAGGTTGCCAGCACACCATACACACCATAACACAGGTTTTATCCTACCTGCAGCTTTTTTTTTTTTAACACAGTGCACCACAACGCACAGATGGTCCACATTCATGAATTGTGGTAGGCTGAAATGCATGTGTGTTGTGATGCACTGGCTAAGTACATTAGGGTTTCATCCAGCATTTATGGCACTGAAATGCACTGCACTTTGTTTCATGTGTTACCGTGTGCTGCAGAAATATGCCGTAAAACATGAATTTTACTGTACAATACCACAAAGCAATACATTTTACATTAACAAATGTTTTTTAAAGTGGAAGTAAAGTTAAAAAATCAAAAATGCAGGGAAGTAGAGAATTATGGCAGAAGAGACATGCAACGTTTCTTCTGCCAAAAAACGTTTTCCTCTTTACCGTACCAATTTTTTTCTTTTCTGTTTAGTGTTTTCAATGTACGGTGCATGTGCCATGCAGTGTAAACACTCAGAAGTTTGGGACCATTCATGGCATCTTAGAGATGCCGTGAATGGTCCCAAATTCCGGGGAGGATGTAACTCATGTTCTGTGTAATTCCGGACTTCTGCTTTAAGTCAGCACTAAGTAATTAAGGAAAGCTATGTGCAAAGTTTGTGGTAAGGAAGAAGCAGAGAAAGCAATTATAAAACAATTACATTATGCATTATCTGGTACTTTCCAAGTTTCAGGCCAAAACATTTTTTTCGTTTTGGATAGAGAAGGTAATGGTTAGAACCCTTTATAGATTTAACTGCTGTCTGTGTCCCCCCCCTGGGCACATTTGCCCTCTTTATCCCTATCTCTCACTTTTTGTTGTGTTTTAGGGACAGGAAGCAAAGGGAAATCTCCGCAATGGGACAGAGACAGCAAGAACTAAACTAACAATTGTTTGAACCTTTCTTTACCCAAAACTATAAAAAAAAAAAAAGTTTTGACTTTAAATGTATTGTAGCCCCTTCACCCTAAGTCTATTTTTGCTCATGGATGTCCGTAGGCCTATACCCTCTCTCCCAGTTTTGACGTGTGGCTAGGGTTGCCACCTTTTCTTCAAGCAAAACCCGAACACTCAATCGGCGCGTGGACATTTTTTGGGGAGAATGAGTCGCGGCTTATTCATGTATAAAAATTGCCGCCGATTCATATGTAACTATCACAGTTGAGACTATTTTCAGTGGGGGGCCAGTAGCCCCTATCTTCCTTTTGGTTGCCCCTGTCTGCCTGACATCTTGTGTCCGGGTTTCTGCTGCCATGAAACCTGGACACAGCATTCCAAACCCGAACTGTTCGGGTGAATCCTGGACAGGTGGCAACCCTACGTGTGGCCTGCCATTCGAAATTAATGGCAACACAAGTGCTTTTTAGATGTTTGTGCGAGATTCCACAAACGTGCATTGATCGCGCATTGTAAAAGCATTCTCAGAACGCCCAGGTGTGAGCCAGGCCTGAGAATAAAATGTCATCCTTCCCTGCCTCTGGGATTCACCACATGCCTTTGGGGGTCAGGAGGGCACTACAGTATTTTATTCTTATACTCTTACATTGGGGATTCTATTACATAAGTTTCCAAGGAGCTATTTAAAAGCAGTGAGACTGTTAGGACATATCATGTAACAACAACTAGTTGCGCTAGGAGTAATCTAAAGTGTCTAAAGAGATATCAGCTGCAACAATATATGGTGAAACCCATGAAAATCAATTGCTAGTATGTTGCGCTAGGTAATAATAGTAATCAACAAAAAAAAAACCTCTACTTCTCCTCCATTCGATTGTGATATGTGAATAAATGGTTACTGAGAATGGGTTGTTATATAAGCTTGTGAATGAACTTGTGAATAAACTTGTGAATAAATAAATGTTTCCTTGAACTGTGATCTGTGTAATCAATGGAATAATTCTATATTAGTGGAAGCTGTGTAATTCCGTGGGTTTTGAATAAAAACGAATAAAATATTTTATATAAAAATTATATAAAAATTATTTCTGTGTACGGACTGTTAGTCTAAATATAATATTATAACCACATTCCTATAAGTGATGAGTGAGGTATAAACCGTTACTACACAACTAAAATGTTAGGTGCACTTATTCAAACTAAATCATGTATCCAAAACTAAATCCATGCATAGAGTTTAACTCTAACACAACCACAGGTATTAGGTACAATTATGCAAATGAAAGGGTCACTCCCAGGTGTCTGTACCTGAAAATCCTAATGGATAAGTCCAAGAAGTCCTTTGCTACACCCCAACTATAGTCGTGGGGAATGCAGTTACTTATCTTCTCTTCCTGGACGTCACTTAGTGTTCAATATCAATATTGGATTCCAGAATCTCGTTGCAGCAGCCTCTAATGCTTATATTCAATTGTCCATTTCTGCCGACAGTTTTCAAATAGCTGTGCTGGACGCCCCGCTCTCTCCTTCCCCTCCGGGAAGGACATATCAGCCCCAAGGATAGCCTGGGAATATAGTCTGGGAAGTTGCACCATTTTCTAGTTCACTTTGAAATAGAAACTGGCGCAGGTGGTGCTGACAGACCCGAAACAGGTCTATCTGCTTTGATAATGTGGTGCACACGACTTGTGCCATTATAATAGCCCAGAAGGCTTTGTTAATTCCCCCACTGTATGTATAAGGGGTGCTTTAAGCTGACAGTGTGTGGGCTGAGGCAGCCCCATTTTTGCTGCTATGATAACGAAGTGTTTGAATATTCACTTATGTTTGGGCATTGAATAGTCGAGAGTGCGCCCCCCCCC